AATTGTTGGAGTCAAATTAAAGTTTGAGTCAATGTATAATTGAATATTCTTACTTTGATTCCTCGAGGATGAACTCGATTCCCCACGAGAATCTTGAGGATTTGGAACCATTTCATCGTGGGTAACATTTGGGATTGAATTGATGTTGGAAATATCCCTACTAGTAGAATTCAAATGCTCCGAAATATTTTTCTGTTCAACAGGTGCTACAGTATTTAAAATTTCATTTGGAGTAGGCCGAGGGGTTTCTTTTCCTTCCACACTTATTTTTACAATTTCGTTCGATTTAAAATTCCTTGATACAACGCCCGCATTGCATCTTCTGATACATAAAATCATTAAAACTACAATCTTGAGATTCATTGTCACTCTGATCTGTCTACTGTTGTAATCACTTTAAGAATAATATCTATATACGTGAGGTAACTTGATGTAGGGTTTCTGAATTCACTTCTGATCAACGGTCTCTTTGGTTTAATTCCATTGATTGTCTTATGGGCTGCAGTAGCCCTGTGGCCAAGGTATCGGATCATGGCAGGCATGTCACGAGTTCGAACCCAGTACCACTAAGGACCCGCCATGTAGGGGAACCGTGCACGTTAAATCTGTTGAGAGCTCAAACGTGGTGTGGATGTTAAGAGAGGGTGATGCCAGCTCAGGTGTTATCCTCGTCACTTGACCATGGTTCAAAATGACGAGGTCCGTCGCCAAAAGCCCTCGTGTAGCTGAACAGTGCGACGTTAATATTCACTCACCCACTCATTGGATTGTCTTCGAGGTAAAGGACTAGTTCACGGCGCTCATAGACCGTGGTTTAAAATAAAATTTTATTGATTTGAGTTTCGTTTACCTAATAATTGTTAATTTAAGTCCTTTATGAATAACTGCTAAGGGCTCATTCCCAACAGGGTGAAAGTAATCTGTGAGAGGTCAAGATGTTTCGAGAGAGCGCAAAGCTCTGTACCACTTTCTCGCTGTTGATTGGTGTGAATAAGCCTTGATTGATTAAATGATTGTTTTTCTTAGCGTCGTTCGAAGGGCTATTGGTGACATCATTTTGAACCAATATGTGATAATATGTGAAGGAGGATAACATGACGAGGATAATATGTAAACAAGCTTTTTTCCCTTCTTTAGACAGTGACCGCGGTAGCTGATGAACCGGGTTTTTTTCTGTGAAGTCGATGGCTCGAGTGGTGGTGGCACGTAAGATTTGTCGAGTGGATGCACGTTAAATTCCCTGAGAATCCCCAATTAGAGTGCCGTGAAAGTTCGGAGAGCAGAGGGCCATCTCAGATGTCGTCCTCATCACTCGATCCTGTCTTAAAATTATGTCCCCAATAACACGTAGTTTCAAACTTTTTAGCGATGATAAACAATTATTCTATTTATTTTTGTAGTGTATTTTTGTAAAGTCTTAGATCGAATGATTTAATGAACGTTATGTCAATATTGAAATTGAATAGCATCATCTTGTATTAAATTTTTAATGGAAGGGGAATTCTAGAGAATACTACTAGAGTTATTGGTGACGCTCTAAAATTTAGACTCGATTCATTTAAAGATAATAACACTTGAGCTGGAATCTCCCGCTTCAAGATTTCTCACCCATCGAAAGAGGAGATATGTTTGGCTTCCTCCTTCAAGTCTCCATTGGGCTGCGGTAGCCCAGTGGTTAAGGTATCGGACCATGGCAGGCATGTCATGAGTTCGAGCCCAGCACCACTAAAGACCCGCCGTGTAGGGCAGCGATGCACGTTAAATCTGTCGAGAGCTGAAACGTCCTCCCGTTGGTGTGGTGAGGTAGTTAGGAGAGGGGGGTGCCAGCTCAGGTGTCGTCCACGTCACTTGACTATGGTTCAAAATTACGTGGTCCGTCGCCAAAAGCCCTCGTGTAGCTAAACAGTGCGACTTTAATATTCACTCAAGTCTCCATTATTTCACATGAGACTGCAACTCAATTCTCAAATGTTGATTCTGCTGACGCTTTGTCTCGGAATCGAACAGAAACTTCTCCACCCAACTTTCCTTGTTTTCGGACCTCCAGAGTCACACGCTGAAGCCAAATGGTCATGACCTTGTGGCCGCCGGCCAGTCGTGAGTTCTATACCTGGTGCTACTAAAGACCCGTCATGTAGAGGGTTCGATGCTCGTTCAATCTGCCGTAACTCAAAGTCCTCACGATAGTATGGATCGGAGAGTGGGGTGCCAAGTCTCGTCTTCCCCAAGTTACAAATGACAAAATCCTTTGCGTTTCCTTACAGTTTATAAGAAATCAAATCGATTCATATCTTAAGTGAAACATTTATTTGCAGGAGCTAATAAAAGTTAAATGAAATATTCATTTGCATGTTATTTAAAAGTATTCAAACAATTCCAATATAAACAGAAAATTGTTAATTACAAATTTTCAATATTTTAATTCATAAAACTAAAATGTGTTTCATATATAAATAGCAAAGAAAAAAACAAAAAGAAAAAAGAAAAGAAGAAATATATTATTTTTAACAACATATATACAAATTTATTCTTAAAGCTATTAAATAGGATTCTATTCAATAGGTAAGGCTGAGTGGTGATGGTCTCGAACTTGTGATCGTCATTGTTTCGGTCGAGTCTCATGATGCCATTAAAGACCCATCTTATAGAAGCACGGTACATCTGTTTAGGCTCACGTTAGCGGGGTGTGTCGTGATCCCTTTAAATGATTTCATTACATTGTATAGTTAGGGATTTCACAGCTATTAACCAAAAAGGCATTTGAGAGAGAGATTCCAAATGAATTAAACGTAACATTAGTTGCAACATTGGTTAAATTCAGCTGCAAACTTTGGCTCTTTATAGCCTTTCGTTAGGGAAAAATTCTAGTCCTGTGTAAAATCAAAAGTGCTTCAAATGATCGATTCTTGAATGCGGCTGTCCCCGCAATCCCTTTTCACTGGTTTCGCTTAACCCTTTATCTACCGACGGTACTTAGAAGTACCACTCACTTTAAAATGACATAGAATAACCATTTTTACGAATACTCTGACGATACTTAGCAGGAATATTCTTTGAAATCCACTCTTCCAAGATATATGGCAGCACGAGTTCTATGTTGAGTATTTTGGGTAACGGTAACGGTTATACATTTACGTGGAACCTTAGTGATAGCTCTATTATCCACTCATCATAATAAATTGAACAGAGAACAATTTGTTGAAGTTACATATAAAAATAAAAAGCAGTCCACATTAAATGCATCGCAATAACGCTGGTGGAGAGGTGGGAGGAAACCACTCTCCCAGTTGATTTAGTTTCTGTTTCGCTTTCATAGGAAAACGAAGAGAAAATGACGTCACATCTCCATGACAGTAAAGCCCGTCTTTCAACCGTCTGTCGCATCTTGACGGAACAAGGAGAGAAGGGATATATTTCTTTAATAACAAGGATTATAGAATAATATTTTTAAGTCCGTTACACGATACCTCTAAGAAAACTGCGTGCGGTTGTTGAAAGGAAGTTTTAAATAACCACTTGGAAGAAAGTAAGAAAAGGTAGAGGAGTTTGAAATAAGATCGTGAGGGGTGAAGTTGCCACACTAAACGTGATCAAAAACTTGCATGACGCGGGGGAGGGGAATAATTAGAGTGAGTGAAGTCTTGCAAAAGAAGACAACTAGTGTAACAATAAAGCTCATAATTTTTTAATTGGTATCAAGACATTCTCATCATTTTCAGAGCTGGGAAGTGTTGATACGAGTGATTAAGAACTGCTCTAGGTCCCTTAGAAGAGCTAGGAATAGAATAGTCGTAAGCCGGGATTTCCCTGATAGATTCATTTGAAATCTGTGGTAACCGGTTGAAGAAATTTTCTGATTGTTTTTTGATGAAATCAAGAAGCGGCGGAATATTAAGATCTTTATGCAAGACTTCGTTCCTGACAAACCAAGGTGCGTTTGCTGCTCTAAGCAGTTAAATGTTTTGAAAAGTGTGCAATCTTTTCAGGTGAGTAACTACCGCCCCTGCCCAGATGGGAGAAGTGTACAACATGATGGGGCGAAGAATGGCTTTGTATAATAGAACCTTGTGCCTTAATGCGAGCTTGCTATTGGGAGAAATCAAGCGATTTAGAGTGTTTCTCATTCCAGCCGCCTTTTGGTGGCGGAACGGATGTGTTTAGCAAAGTTTAATTTAGTGTCAAGTATTAAACCTAGGTACTTATATTCAGTAACCCAGGGGACAGGCTGATTAAAAATGTTGACATGCGGGAGGTTTCCGATGCACCGCTGTCTCGTAAAGAGGAGGCATGCGCTTTTAGATGCATTAACCTTTATTTTCCAGTTGTTAAGCCAGGTTTCGAGTCGAATGACATAATTTTGAAGCCGCTCAATGATATTGCGGTTATAAATGTTTTGGGTAAAAATGGCAATGTCGTCCGCGTACATCGCTAAGTGGACTTCGGCAGCCTTGGGAATGTCATTGATGTATAGATCAAAGAGCTTGGGCCCTAATAAAGATCCTTGTGTTACCCCACTGAGAATTGGACGTGGGGTGGAGAGACTGTGTTTTCAACTCTTACCCTAAATTCACGGAAGCTTAGGTAGGAGTGTATAATTTTGATGAGTTGGTCCGAAAACCCAAGTCGCGCATCATCTTGGATAGCAAGCCATCATGCCAAATTTGTGATGAGTATTTTAGCGGGAAAGGCGAATAGTTTTATGTTAGAAATTGCATTTTCAGCTGACGGCGTTTTCAGCGGATTGCGTAGATTGTCAATTTTGTTCCGAATAAGAAGTTAATGTCAAAAGGTAAATGTCTTATTTTTGAAGTTATACTTCATTTGGGGCGTTAGAGAAATAGGATGAGGGTGTATTTTTTTGATGCGCGCGCACACCGTCACGGATGTGACGCCAAACCGTCACGGATGCGAAAATGCTTTGTCTAGAAATATACAGAACGTTACAGATCATTGCCGCCTTCGAAATCTCAGAAAAATATTTCTCTTCACTTCCCTGAAGAAGAGGACACCCTGGTTTGAACTGGGAACCTCTCGATTAGCAGTCGAATGCTCTACCACTGAGCTATACCCTCCGTGTCTGCGAACCTTTGCTTTGCGCTGATTTGTGACGTCACTACTAGTAGGGAGAGATCGTCCTTTGCCTACGGAGCTTCTCTGATGCATTTGTTTGAAATCTTTTTGTTATTAAACCAAACATACTTACAGGAAATTAAAAAAAACAAACAAAAAACAGTAAATTAATCTTTGTATTGTGTTTCATGTACATAAAATATAAGAGTAAATAATAGTTTAACTATTTAAATAACAATTGCAAGTATACGATTATAGATCCATTTACTACGAACGCATTGCGATGAACATAAACACATTAATTACATTTTAGCAAGTTATAAGAGCCTTTTGTGTTCATATATTTATTTTTGAAGTTATCCTTCGTTTGGGCGTTAGGAAAAAAAGGTGAAGGTAAATTTTTACGATGTGCTCGCACACCGTCACGGATGCGTGCTCATACCTTCACGAAACCGATGCGCGAGCGCTCATCATTGTCTAATATTTTAGCATGCCACTTTTTTGGTGCTATGGGACTGATATTTGGGGGATCATAATAACTATTGTTATAAACCATATCTGTTGGGACGCATCCCCCCTGTGCCTTTCCCCCTCTACAGCTTTTTGGCCAATATCTCGGCACCCGAGCCTCACAGTCCATTAGGAACTGGCTCATTCGATCCCTCTCCATCTGTTCTTCCAGTTATAATTTCATGCTCATAGGGCTATTTCTATCATAGTTTCTAACTGTCTTAAACTTTTTAAATTTGTTTAAATTCACAATATCTTGGCTTCTGCTCGAATCTCGGACTTGAGATTTGAACCAACTATTCCATTCATCGAGATCTATCCAGTCATCTGCTTTATTCCCATTATGTAGGCAAAGAGAGGGCTTAAGCACTAAGATATCATGCTCCCATGTTAATCCTATGGGGACTGGAAAAAATTTCACCCCCCCCCTCCCCTATGGAATTGAGCTTGGAACTTGATTTTTGGAGGGCCGCTATATTTTCGTATTAGCGCGAGCTTTACGTGCAATTGCCCCCCCCCCCGGGGGGGCGTCGGGAGAAAACTCGAATCCTATGCCACCTTGGTGGACCGCACTGGCTGGATTCGATTGTTCTTCCTATGAGCATCCTAGATATATTTTTTCAGGTTCATAGCACCATTTCTTTACCCATATTTAACATTTTAAAATTTTATTAAAGTTATAATTATTTTAAATCCCGCATAGCTCCGAGGATTTCGGAGATTCGTTAATGAAATTGTTTTTAAGTATATCTCTTAATTTTCAATGTAGTGATTAAAAAAAATTACATGAAAAAACTGTAGTAAATTACAATGCGGTAGATAAAGGATTAAAGTCAGTCCATTCATTGCTCCGCCAACTCTGGCACTCGATGTTCCTCTTTCTTGGCCCTTAAAGGGCGGCTACGGCTCAGTTCCTTTCCTCCAGCAATACGATCTTCAGGGCACTCGGAGAAGGATGTCTCCATGCAACTGCTTTTCTAAATGAGTGTTTATTGATGTCGAGCAGCCTGAGGTGTATTGACTCTCTGAATCCCAGATACCTAAGTTGGCACCCCTACCCTAACTTCCACACCCCACCAACGAGACACGACAAACTTAAAGGACATAAGGTCTTCTATTCAAAGAGAGGAGAGTCAGCTCCTTTATACGAAAGCACTTTGTAACTATGAGACCAACAGGCTACCACAACCACGCAACTGCTTTTCTAAAGTAGTCTCTAAAATTCTCTATGGGGTTCACAGCAGGAGATTTTACTGGTCAAGGTATTCACTGAATGGTTTAACTTTCAAGAAATTCATTAAAGAGGTTGGCTTGATATGGACAAGCTCTAGCGTCCATAAATTCAAAAAAAAATCAGAATTCTATGCATCTTACAGCAGGTTCTGACTCTTATAACTTTGATTTGCCGCACACCCTCTGTTCGAAGCATGTAGGGGCCCTTCTTCACTATACCGTCTCATCTGTATTACATAAACAGCCTCATTCCATGACATTCGAAGGAAAATTTCCCATTTCTTTCATCCAGAAGTAAAATGCTTTAGAATAAAATGTTTAACTAAACCTCGACTGTATAATGTTTGAAAAAGAGAACATGGGTCCAATGATGTTTACTCCAGTTTTGATTTTATTTTGCCCTCATGAAAGCGTTCCCTCTTTTGTTACTATACCCTTTTCATTCCCTCTCTACCTATACTATTTTATTCCGATAACAATTCTGGTGTACGCTGAAGCTCTCGACTGCCAGTCTGACTACATGTTGGGATTGGCAGTTATTGTCGTCTATCGAATTTGAGAAACATTTTTTATAGATCTTGTCCAATTCTCCTGACAACAGTTCTGAAAATGTTTCCACAGCATATCAACTGAAATATTGACGCATCTTACTGCTTTCGTAACTGCTTACATATCTTGGTTGAAATTCGCTACTTGACGTCCAAATGATACGTTGGTGGCATAACAAACCATTTGGATCCCTGAAATCAAACAGTTAGCCAAATTCCCTCAGATATTCACTTTGCACAAAGCGTTTCATTCTGTCGGATGATGAAACGCCTTCATTTTCATATCAGAAACGGTTGGGTCCATTTGGATTCTATAAAACTATTAATAAGCTTGTCTTGCAGATATTTAGAGAAAAAAAGGCCACTGTGGATATTTTATAAAATGTTATGTTTCAGTATGTAAAGATAATTTTATACATGAGTTGTATATGTATAATTATTTAAAACATAGGGGTACCTTCGGTAACAATTTACCCATCATCCATTATGAGTAATAACGGATATTACTCATAACTCCCTCTGTGTTTTCTTAAAAATATAAATATGATGTAAGTAAAATTAGAATGGATCCTCCTAAAATTTGTTTAACCCGGGAGCGTGAGGCACAGAGTCATCCCCGGCTCACGAAATCTTTAATTTTGGGAAAACTGTTACCAATATAACCCTTTGTTAGTATTCTCCTATATGACAGTCTTCATGGGAAATAAAATTTGTCATATATCTCCCTCTCTCTTTTGGAAATGGAAAACGGTTTTTACAATCTTAAGGTACTTGGGATGACTGAGTTGCCCGAGCGACCTCTTTTGTCCCAAAATATTTTGTATGAACAATCAACATGACCATCATTCATTGGATTATTTTTAATTAATTCTTCTCCCTTTTGTAATCAAAGTAAAACTGAATGAGAAATTTAATCAATTAGTGATATTGATTTCTATTGAAAAAAATAATTCTGGCAAAAAATTGAGGGGAAGAAATTAAATACAATATTTACATTGAAATACAAGTTATTCATACTATTGATTATTTCCATACAACAAAGGGAAGGTAGAGGTAAACACAACCGATTTTTTCAAACTCTTCCACCTCGAATTCGTTTCTGGCTCGTGGTTGTTGAGGCGATGTCAGATGAAAAGACCCCTCAATATCTTAGGGGTGGATAGGAATGGCACCATACGAGCTACATAAAAAAGCCAATTTTGCAGCTGCATGGCGCCAAAACGTTCTCAATGAAAAGGATCTCAGAATGACATCATTTTTCGATATTTTGGTCAATCCTCGAATCTCCCAAATCATCCTATGGAGACGCCTAAAAATTCTAAAAAAAATGATTGCTCGTGCTGTTTTTAAACTTTTTATCAACTGCTTTTATTATAGTATCGTTTCTTTAATTTTTTTTTATCATTTGAGTTTGCTCTCAAGTTGTGCGAGAACAAGGTGCCACGCCATTTTATATTTCTGAATAAAATAAGTTTATAAAGAGCCTGCTTATGTAAAATTCCAGTCCTATGAAAAATGCAATTCCTGAGACTTTTGTCGTCCCAGGGGTTGTCATTTGAATTGGAGGTGAACCAATCGTGAGTTTGCTACTGAAGACTCATCGTGTCGAGTCACGTTAAGTATGGCTCCTTTACGATGGGTTGGTGTGGAAATTTGTAAAGTTGGGCGCCATCCTTTATCAATTGGCCCAGTTTCAACACTCTCGTGTTGCCTTAGAGTAAAATATTTTTAAGCAACCCATCAATATCTATAGCCAATGGCTTAGGAAATTCATTTGCCTTCTGAAATTTTTTTGTGAGGTATTTTACAGAAGAACACGGAAAAACAATAGATGATCCAAAAAATGGATACAAAAAAAGTCACTTTAGCATCTTCAAACGCGTTCCACAAAACGTGAACAAAGGAATTCAATTGGGCTTACAAAATAATTTAAATATTAATTATAAATGTAATTTCAGGTTTTTTTTACATTATGTTTATATAATTAACATAAGAAGAATTGATTTCAAGTTTTCTGTTATGTTATAAATCTAACACACACACACATGTATACATCTCAGCAATCAGATAATATATACACCTAACTCTTTTTTTACATAGTAGATACTTTTCTTTAAAAAAACATACGACATATGGTCAATTGAGTCCGGCAGATTTAAAAAGATTACGAATTCCAAAATATTTTCCCTAAAATACCATGCAAAAAAAATAACAATAAAATCCATGGGACATACTTAAAAAAAAACAAAAACATTTCTTTTTTATTACAAAAAGAAAAAAAAATTAAAAAATCTGTGTACAGTGAAAATTCAGTCTATAAGTACATACAATATATAAAAATTGAAATTGAAATAAGGAATAAAACTGCTAACTAGCAACCATTCATTGCTACTTGATAACAAGCATATAAGTTTATTACGACCTGGATAAAAAAAAATGCTGTCATCAGTAAATGTGTTAGATACGCAGCATTTTTTTTTTTTTTTTGAAGTTATACTTCTTATTGCGCGTTTGGGAAAGGATGAGGGTAAACTTTTACGATGCGCGCGCACACCGTCACGGTACCGATGCACGTTGTCTAATATTTTAACATGCCACTTTTTTGGTGCTAGGGGACTGATATTTGGAGGATCGTAATAACTATTGTTATAAACCATATCTGTTGGGACGCAGCCCCTCCCCTCTACGGCTTTTTGGCCAATATCTCGGAA